AAGAAGAAGAAGAAGAAGAAGAAGAAGAAGAAGAAAGAAGAAGAAGAAGAAGAAGAAGAAGAAGTCGGAGGGGGCAGAAGGTCGGGGTGGGGGTGCGCAGTTGGGGATCAGGGGGGAAAAGGAAAGAAAGGAAGAAGAAGAAGAAGAAGAAGAAGAAGAAGAAGAAGAAGAAGAAGAAGAGGTGGTGTAGCCATAGCCAGCAGGGTTTTGGTAGACGAGTGTAGTGTGTGCGTGTGTGTGACACAGTGTGTCGCGTGTGTGTGACACAGTGTGTCGCGTGCGGGATATCCAGGGTGATCCTGAGTTGAGTGTGTGTGAGCAGTGGAGTGAGCACAGTGACGAACAGAGAGTTGTACAGGCGCTGATGCGCCATAGCCATCTGAAGCGAGCTTGTATCCGAACTGTGTTCTTGGTTGCCATATCTCTGAGCTTTGAGTGGGCGCTTGTCGCCAGTTTGGTGTGCTACCTGTTTACATGCATGTGAAGGAAGAAAGAAAGCGAGTCTGATTGCATTGCGGTCACATAGAGACCAAAAGAGTCCAGCGAAAGTACAAAAGGGAGAGGACAGATGGAAAAGAGCAACAAAAGAGAAAGTGGGAGCGTGCATGGGAAACGAGTGCATAAAGGATGAAAACAGTCACAGAAGAAAGAAACAGCAGAAAAGACAGATAGGCCATACCAACCCAACCATGCACACACACGCAGACACACACACATGAGTGCAGAAATGGTAAAAACAGCCACAAAAGAAGGAATATGCAGCAACTGCAATGGGAAGGCAGGAGGGAAACAGGGCAGCGAGACAAGCAGATGGGCATGATGGTGAGCAGCAACCGAACAAAGCAGCGAGGCAAGGCAAGCAGCAAGGCAGCACAGTGAGTCAACAAGGCACTGAACGCCAAGGCACGCGGTCACGCAGGTGTGTGTGGCACCAATACAGCAAGACACCCAGCAGGCTAAGTGGGCTACCGAAATAGATGAGTTCGACTTGAGCTAAAACCAGTGAAGGGCACGTATAATCTTGCCGCTTATGTGGTCTAGAATGGCAGATTTCTTCGGTGCTATAGTCACCTAACTCGACGAAGGACAGGAATTGCAGCAGAATATCAAATTTGCATACCCCGTTGACCCTTACTTATGGAACGTAATAGCTGAAGTAGTAGATGCACCCCATGAAGTCATGGAATATAGAATGCATGACGGATTACTGGTTCGAAAATCAGACACGGAAGACAGACTGCATATACCGAATGATGAGGAGATTTGCAGCGTGATACTTTGTGAATGCCATGATATTGAAGGTCATTTCGGTTGGAGGAAGACCTACACGAATCTGTTGCATCCAATGTCTGTACCGGCATGAAAAGTGATTCCATATTGTATGTGCAGAGCTGTAAAGTCTGTTGTCAAAGCAACAAAAGTACGACGCAGCTCCCGTTATGAGTCTTATGACTGCTCAAACCGCTACCTATAATGGAAAGAGTCAAGTAATGGTAATAGTAGATAGATTTAGCTGTTTTTGTTCCGCTGACGCCCGAAGCTAAGACAGATGTAGTGATTCCGAAGTTTCTGGGCGAAGGACACTGGCTACCCGCGTACTATAGTTAGTGATAGAAATGTTAGATTATGGGAGATCAATGCGAACAACTAATGAAGGTCCAAAGATCCAAGTTGATTATGCCATCTGGTAGGCATCTGGAGACCAACAGACAGACCGAACAGATGAACAAAGTGTTGCAGTAGACTCTCCGTATGTATATTAGACTCGAACAGGCTGACTGGGACGAGCACTTAACAGCTCTGTTCACTTAGCAACAACACGTACACCGAATGAATTGCACAAGGGTTGAAATTCTAGGAGGCCAATAGACTGTTTGAATCCTGATCAGATCCAACGATTACCGCCTGGCATTTAGGAATTCGCACTGCAGTGCAATGACTTGCTGTTTTTTGGTCGCCTGTAGCCTCTCTCTGTCGAGGCTGTACTATAGGTAGGACAGATTCGTATTTTTGTTTGGCTGAGGGCTAACCGAGAGACCTACGTGTGAGGGAAATTCGTAAGGGACATATCTGCAAATTCGGGAAAATACAGGCCCGCTACTAACAGGATTCCCTACACCTACCCCAACTGCAAATAGCAGGCCCGGGCTACACCTAGGACAGACAGGCCCTAAGGGCCTATTCTAATAGACGGGCCAATAGCCTATAGCCGGGTCTGGTAGAGGCCGAGAGGCCGAAACAGATACGGTACCGATCGGTCAGTCAGTCCGGTCTAGGTCCAGTCCAGGCTAGCTGTAGTCTATAGATAGGATAGGCACATCGGTTCAGGGCTTTTGGCAGTTGGTACCGAGTACATCGCTGCTGTGCTACGTGTGAACCAGAAGTGTTGATGGCTCAGCGCGGAAGGAGACAGGCATAGCCAGACCTTCGGAGCGCCGGCCATAGCTGGGACCTGCGCTGTACTCTGCCAGCACGCAGGGGCTGACAGAGGTCTGGGTTATCGAGGTCTGCTGGAGGCGAGAGAGATTGGTGCCCTGCTGGACCCTCCTCCGGAGTGGGGTTCCATGGTGTTTGCGCTGCAGCCATAGCTGCAGCTTTCTTCCTCAGAGGTCATCTTGTCAGGGTTTAGTGGCGCTGCTGCAGACTTCCACCCGGGAAGTCTTCCGACACTTCGTCATCATCAGATATTGTGGCGCTGGTCTTCTTCTTCATCCTCTGAGTGGCGCTTGGCCTCAGAGGCCTGTTTCAGAGTGGCGCTTCCCTCAGGAGGCTGTATCTGGGTGGCGCTGGATGTTTCAGGGGCTCAGGGTTGTTACGGGTGTTATTCAGGGTTGGGGAGTGAAGCGCTGCTCATTTCTGAGCAGCGCACTGTAGTTCTGAAGTTATCCTGACAATTCGAGACTCTGAGTTTAATAAACAGTGTATAACTGGGTTTGGACTATCATCGTTTCATTGTTTTCCTGGATGTGATCTGCTCGGCTTTTCTCTATGACTGGTTGTGAGGATTGAGTGGAGTGAATTGCACTTTCGGTGTACCCTGTCATATCGCATGGTCAAGTCTTCCGTTGTGTTATCTCTCCCTGTGTGGTGTGATACTCCTATCCTCTCCCCTTCCTTCTGTGTATGAATGGGCATACCTAGAAGTCTCTGTGAGTGAGTGTTGCCCTTCAGGCAACAAACAACCAGAATCATAACAGTTAGTATCGGAGCAATTGGATCCAGGCTCTGGAGCGATGGATGAGTTGGAGCACCCATCATCATCTGGCGAGATACTGGAGTTGAGTCTCATGGCGATTCATCATCTTAAGGGTTGTTGTCAGTAAGGGTGGTGGTTGTGAGTGTGTGGCGAGAAGAATTGGACAGAGGGTGACTCACTCCTGGCTAGGGTTGTGCAGGAGTAGTTGGCGATTGATACTCAGAGGCCTGAGAGGCTCTGGGAGGCTATTTTTGGCCTGACGATTCATCTGGAGACTGGCGATTGTCAAGGAAGTGATCCCAGGAAGTGGCGATTGTGGAATTGGGTCAGGATCCCCAATTTCCCAGCAGCGCAGTACAGGGTGATGTGGCGCTGTCAGTTATTGGCACCTGGGAGTTCGATTTCTCTGAATCTGTCAGTTGGTGGTGAAGCGCCTCAAGGTAATCTACTGGATCACCAAGTTTGAGGTAATTTGGTACGTGGGAACACTCGATACTATCAGGAGGTGAAACTGGCGAGATGGGGTTGACCAGTCAACCATAACCAGGGTTTCATGCATCTTCCTCAGAGTTGACCCTGAAGTAAGTGTGTTCCATACTCCATCCTGTGTGGCGATTCTGGGTCTATTTTTAGATTAGGGAAATTTGGTTTGTCTGTCGGGTGACAGTTGAAAATCGAAATTCAGACTGTGGGACAACCATATCCAACTTCCCCTACCCATCTTCTTTGACTTCTACTAACCCTGTTTTACCTTCTTTCTGACTCATATTTCATTTGTGACTGTTTTTCAGTATTGCGATTGACACTGTAAAGTGAATTGGTGAATTCAGGGTCCTGTTGTCAGTGATAATGCAAATTTGAATTCTGCGCTGACATAGCTAAAGCTTGGCTAGACTAGGGTCAGTCATAACTTTGATTATGTCCGTCAGAATTTAATTTTGTATGTCCCTGGTAAATCGCAGTTCAGTACTCAGTCAGTGTGTGGAATCGCACATCCAGATTTGATGTTTTGAGTCAGTTACAGTGAAAGTTGTAATTCGCCATACCCAGGGTATGTCATACAGGGTTATACAGTGGTGAGGTCTATAGGGTAGGTCTAAAAATAGGGTAACCTGTAAATCGCTGCATCTTGGTCATCAGTGGACACCTGTCTAACCCTAATTAGTCACTCTGTCTAATTACTAATCAACACTTATCAGTCCAAGGCTGCATCCTGTCAGTTGTTAACCCAGGATTTGCAATTATTCCATGCAATCGTGAAATTGGTTTTTGCCTGAGTGGACTTTGAACTGACCCTAACCCTCAAGCGGTCTGCTGAGACTGAGCACTCACTTGCTTAGACTAACCAATCTTCTCTCTCCAAGCAGGTGGCAGCAACTGAGTGAGTACTGAAGAGAAAACTCAATTCCTGTTACCTCCTGCTCTGTCTCTGTTTGATTGTTTAATTTTATTTATCTGAATTGTGGGAAATGGCATATGGTGGGAAACCAGAGGCTTCTGAGGCCAAGCCTCAGATTCCTCTGGACCCTTTAGAGGCCAAACTGCGGGCCCAGGAGGAGAAACTCCGCCAACAGGCCCAGGCAGTTGAAACTCTAAAGGTCGAGCTGCAAAAGAAAGAGAAAGCAACTCAGAAAGAGGCAAGGAGAAAGCTACTGATTGCAGATGTAGAGAAGATCAGGACTAGTGGTAGTTCCAGCCAGTACAATAAGGACATGGCTGAATTCATCCTCCTGCAGGATGATATTCACCGTTCTTATTTTACTAACTGGGATGACCGCATCACCAGTCTGGAGAGTAGTCACTCAGTTTTTTCTAAGAAGCTGGATGACATTTCTGCCAAACTGGATCTGATCTTCACTCATTTGAAGATCCGTGCTACTCTGACAGTCCCTCCTTCTCCTGGACCCTCTCAAGGGAAACCTGCATCACCCCCACACTCCAGATCCTCATCCCCATCCTCTACACCCAAGTCAACAACCCTTTCGCAACCCTCAACACCATTTGATTTTCGGCGGCCTAAGCTAACACCTCCACCCATGTTCTCAGGCGAGGACCCAAAGGTGGATGTTGCAGATTGGGTCACTGCACAGAGAACCTACCTGAGTGGGTTCAAATGTGACGAGGATGTGAAAGTGTCAACCATCCTTGCTCGCTTGGAGCGGACTGCACTGAAATGGTGCACCTCCACCTCCAGCAAGCAAGGTATGGAGATGTCAGATTGGGCGCAGAGGCTGGGGGTGACTGGTTTTCTGCAGGCACTACAAGACCGGTTTGCAGACAAGGAGCATGCCAGAAAGGCAGAAGGCAAAATTTTGCGCCTGGGCCTGAAAAAGTTTGATGGCTCCTTGTCCAAACTGTATTCGACCTTTGAGAGTCTGACTTCGACTCCAGGGTTAGAGATGAGTGAGCAGGATCTGCTCATTCATTTCTTACGGCCAGCGCCTGAGCAATACCAGATTTTCTTCTCTCAGGGCCACAAGGACTAGCGGTCCTTTGGCAGAGCAGCTCTGGACTTGGAGTCCAAACTCCATGTCCAGGAAGCACCTTCTGAAGGAAGGAAGGGACCTTCCTCCAAAGGGCGAAGGAGGAGGAACGGTGCCCTTTTTGCTGCTGCAGCTTCTGGTTCAGATAGTGACGCAACATCCCAGGGTGGGAGCCTGCCACCTGGGACTGCCTCATCATCTGCTGCAGATTCTGATGTTCTTGCCCTGGTTGATGCTTTGATGGGCCTGACAAAGGGCAAAGCCCTAACCCAGAAAGCATCCCCTGGCACGCACTCAGGAGCCAGGAGGGAGTTTGGAGGAAGACGAAGGACAAGGGGGGTCTGCCTGAGATGCGAGGGGGACCATTTTCTCGAGGATTGTCCCAACATGCCTCGTAGGTCTACAGGCAGCTTTAGTTCAAAAAACTAGAACAGAGAGAGGTGGAAGCAGCAGCTCCTTTCACCAGTGTTGATTCACTGTCAGATGATGGTGAATCTGCACCTTCTCTCGCTGGTTCCTCTATCGCTGGAGTTGCATCCTCAGGGTCTTTCACTTTTGAAGACTCTGAGCTGGATGAGACGTGGAAGGAGGACGATGCTCAGTGCCTTGCTGATCTCTTCCTGCAAAAGGGCTGCATAAGATTTGAGGGTTCCAAAGTGACCACAAGCATCATGACACTCTGACATCAGAAGTGTCTTGAGCTTGCGGTCCTGGGGAATGCACGAACGCTCCTCACCTCTGCTGCATGTGTACAGCAAGCCTGAAACCAGCGTATATCCTGGTTCAGAGGCAGGATCGTTCTGGAGATTCCTCACGATAGGCCCAAAGATCTCATCTTGGGGCAGCAACTGGGCAATGGTCTGACGGGTCCTCTCTCCAAATGAGTGAGTAAAGGAGATGAGGAAAAGAGCGTCAGGCCTACGAGAAAGGGCGTTTGCTACTCGATTGTAGCAGCCCTTCTTGTGCTTCAATTCAAAGTCAAACATGTCAATGAACTGAATATAGCGGGCAAACTTGTCATTCAGCTCTCCCTGGGACTTCATCCACTGAAGGGTGGAGTGATCTGAAAAGACCTTGAAGTGTCTGCCCAAGAGAAAGTGTTTCCAATGCTTGAGCGTTGACACAAGAGCATAAAGCTCTTTCTCATAGGTGGAATCCTGCAACTTTTTGGTCTTGATCTTCTTGCTCATTTATTCAATAGGCTGCGGACCATTCCCATCATCCTGCTGAAGTACCGCCCCTACACCATACTGACTAGCATCAGTAGTAAGCACAAAAGGCAGGGTAGGGTCAGGGAGCTTCAAGACAGGGGCACAAATCAAGGCCTCCTTGAGACGTGTGAAAGCCTCCTGACATTCTGATGTCAAAAGAAAGGAAGTGTCTTTCTTTCTTAGATCAGTCAATGGTGCTGCAATCGCAGAGAAGTTCTTAATGAACTTCCTGTAGTAGGATGCAAGCCCTAAGAAAGACCGGACATCACGACTGTTAGCAGGTTGCGGCCAGTTCTGAACTGTAGCAACTTTCGTTGCTTCAGGAGCCAACCCCTCTCCAAAAATGACGTGGCCCAAATAGACTACAGAGGGAACTCCAAAGGAGGACTTCTCTCTGTTGATCTTATACTGGTTTTCACGTAAGGCCTGGAGGACCAGAGTCAGATGCTGCGCATGCTCCTGGACAGAACGACTAAATACCAAGATATCATCAAGGTAGACAACTATGAACTTGTCCAGGTAAGGCCTGAGTATGCGATGCATCTCTGTTTGGAAGGTGCCTGGGGCATTGTAGAGACCGAATGACATGACCAGGTAATCATAAGTGCCATACCTGGTTTTGAAGGTTGTCTTGTGGACATCGCCTTCATCCATCTCAATCTGGTGATAGCCAGATTTGAGGTCGATCTTGCTAAAGATGGTACAACCCTGCACCATGTCCAACAGATCATCAATGCGAGGAAGAGGCTCTGTAGACTTCCTCGTGATTTTGTTGAGACCACGATAGTCCACGCACATCCTGAACTCACCATTCCCCTTTGAAACAAAGAGGACTGGTCCTCCAAACTCAGATGTGTTGGGCCTGATCCAGCCCTTGCTGGTCAGGGTCTCTAACTGTCTCCTGAGCTCTTCAAGTTCAGCAGGGGACATCCTGTAGACTCGGCCCTTGGGAGGGACCGAACCAGGCAGGATCTCAATCTTATGTTTGGTCTGCCTATGGACTGGTCCAGTAGGCTCCTCCATAACATTTGAGAAGCTATCTACTACCCGCTGAATCTGAGAGGGACAGGGAGCAGTCTCGGCGTCAATCTGTTTGACATAAGCCACGAACAAACGGGCGTGATCAGCTTGGCGTGGGAATCGCAGAAAGCTGCGAGCACTCGTACAATAACAGTTGCTGGTTGGATGGTACTCATCAGCAAGCATGCAAGGGGGATATACCCCATGCCGCCCAGGCAGCTCAACCCTAAGGATCCGCCAGTCGATCCTAGGATTGGTGACACCAAGCCACTGCATAGAGAGGACAAGGTCAAAGGGGACATTAGGAAACACATAAAAGTTCAGGTGGTGCCTGACTTCCCCCTGCTTGTCAAAGGACACAGTTAGGCCCTTGACAGCAGTAGTAATCCTGACTGTGGAGGAGTCTCTAATGCGCACCTCTATAGGCTGTCGCAATTTCACTAACCTCTGATCCAAGTGCAGCTTGCTGACTACCTTGGGAGAGATGAAGTTGCGAGTAGCCCCACAGTCCAAGAGCCCTTTGATCTTGGCTCCCAGGATGGAGGGTTGAAGTACGTTGACCTCCTCTTGGCCTACTCAAACCACTATCTATCCCTGATGCTCCTGCACAATCAGTGTTCATCGATTTCACTGACTTGGGTAGGACTACTCCACGAGGTATGTGTCAGGTTATGGTATGTGTGGATCGGTTCTCCAAATATGCAAAGTTCATCCCCTTACCAGCTGAGGCTCGTGTGCCAGCCGTTCAGGTGGCATTTGCTGACAGGTGGGTTACACATCATGGACCACCCACCTCCATCATCAGTGACAAAGATCCCCGGTTTTGCCGCAATGAATGGCAATCCTACTGCAGGGATTACCTTCATTCCAGATTGGATATGACATCTGGTCGTCATCCTGAAGCCAATGGACAGGCTGAAGTGATGAACCAGATTCTGTTCCAATTGCTGCGTCCTGTGATCAGTCATGATCAGCAGGACTGGGATCTCCATTTCTGTCGTGCACAGCTTGTGTATAACACTTCTATACACTCCTCTACTGGTTTCACACCCTACCGGTTACATTAGGGTCGTGAGCCACGGCAGCCTCTCGATGACATCATCGATAAGGCTACCGCTACGTTGACGCCAGGAACTGCAGAGTTCACCAGACGTTACCGTGTGGACATTGAGCGCGCCCGTGCTAACCTGTTGAAGGCCCAAAAGGCAATGATTCAGTAGACCAATAAACACAGACGTCCCTCTACTATTCGCAGAGGTGACTGGGTATGGGTACTCAATTCTGAGCTCTCACGAGAGGAGGACATATCGCCTAAGCTGTTGCCACGATACATGGGTCCATGGCAAGTCTTAGATACAGTGGGAGCAGATCCGTTTGGACCATCCTACATAGTGGATGTCCCTCTGCATCTACAAACCTACCCTGTCTTTCATGCATCGAAGCTGTTGCCATTCACGCCCGCTGATGCATTTCCAGACAGACCTCCTCAGTTCAGTCCCCCTATCCCTGGAAAAGGGTATGAGGTCGAAACTGTGGAGGACGAGTCAGGTACAGGTCGAGATAAAGAGTAGCTTGTGAAGTTCTTGTACCAGCCATATACTGAGGACCGCTGGTTTACTCGCAAGGAACTTTTGAAGACTGCCAAGTCAGTCATCATCAAATATGAGGCAGCACAGAAGGGGGTATCCCTTCGGTGCTCGGCACGCCTACGCCCCTAGCTCAGAGGTCCTCGCTCCGGGGGAGGGTAGGTCTGCAATGACTTGCTGTTTTCTGGTCGCATGTAGCCTCTCTCTGTCGAGGCTGTACTATAGGTAGGACAGATTCGTATTTTTGTTTGGCTGAGGGCTAACCGAGAGACCTACGTGTGAGGGAAATTCGTAAGGGACATATCTACAAATTCGGGAAAATACAGGCCCGCTACTAACAGGATTCCCTACACCTACCCCAACTGCAAATAGCAGGCCCGGGCTACACCTAGGACAGACAGGCCCTAAGGGCCTATTCTAATAGACGGGCCAATAGCCTATAGCCGGGTCTGGTAGAGGCCGAGAGGCCGAAACAGATACGGTACCGATCGGTCAGTCAGTCCGGTCTAGGTCCAGTCCAGGCTAGCTGTAGTCTATAGATAGGATAGGCACATCGGTTCAGGGCTTTTGGCAGTTGGTACCGAGTACATCGCTGCTGTGCTACGTGTGAACCAGAAGTGTTGATGGCTCAGCGCGGAAGGAGACAGGCATAGCCAGACCTTCGGAGCGCCGGCCATAGCTGGGACCTGCGCTGTACTCTGCCAGCACGCAGGGGCTGACAGAGGTCTGGGTTATCGAGGTCTGCTGGAGGCGAGAGAGATTGGTGCCCTGCTGGACCCTCCTCCGGAGTGGGGTTCCATGGTGTTTGCGCTGCAGCCATAGCTGCAGCTTTCTTCCTCAGAGGTCATCTTGTCAGGGTTTAGTGGCGCTGCTGCAGACTTCCACCCGGGAAGTCTTCCGACACTTCGTCATCATCAGATATTGTGGCGCTGGTCTTCTTCTTCATCCTCTGAGTGGCGCTTGGCCTCAGAGGCCTGTTTCAGAGTGGCGCTTCCCTCAGGAGGCTGTATCTGGGTGGCGCTGGATGTTTCAGGGGCTCAGGGTTGTTACGGGTGTTATTCAGGGTTGGGGAGTGAAGCGCTGCTCATTTCTGAGCAGCGCACTGTAGTTCTGAAGTTATCCTGACAATTCGAGACTCTGAGTTTAATAAACAGTGTATAACTGGGTTTGGACTATCATCGTTTCATTGTTTTCCTGGATGTGATCTGCTCGGCTTTTCTCTATGACTGGTTGTGAGGATTGAGTGGAGTGAATTGCACTTTCAGTGTACCCTGTCATATCGCATGGTCAAGTCTTCCGCTGTGTTCTCTCTCCCTGTGCGGTGTGATACTCCTATCCTCTCCCCTTCCTTCTGTGTATGTATGGGCATACCTGGAAGTCTCTGTGAGTGAGTGTTGGCCTTCAGGCAACAAACAACCAGAATCATAACAGCAGTATGAGAAGGACCTGCAAAAAGTTGCAGAAAACATCAGAAAAGCACAACATTAGATTGTAGATCAGGCCAATAAGTGTCGCACAACCTCTGAATTCGTTGTTGATGACTTCGTCTTGGTCAACTCCTAGAGTTTCTGTAGGAAGAGGGGATTTCTTAGAAATTGCCACTAGCATACCGAGGGTCGTGGGAGATTATGGATGTAATAGGAGATCCCGATGGTTCAACCTATGTGGTCAGCATACCACACATCTGTATACTTACCTTGTCTTTTACGCTTCAAAGTTTCTGCCTTATGTCACTAGTGATGTGTTTCCTTCGCACTGATCAATGATCCCGCCTAATATGGTCGACTGATACGACATTCATCGCATCGTTGATGAGGATGTCTACAGATCAGGTAGGAGAGGAAGGTCGCACGCAGCAAGAGTACAAGGTCCGGTTCTAGTACCAGGAACCAGAGGATGACTGATGGCACACGAAAAATGAGCTGCCAGAGACAGCCTCAAATATTGTATCATAGTATGAGAGGGTCACGAGGGGTGTCAATATAGAAGATAGGTAAGAAAGTTAGCATTTTTCGCAGAGGACCTCGAAACTAGGCCGGCGGGAGCGAAAGGATTTCACGCCACAGTCACTGTCCCGAGTCTTGGTCCCAAAGTCCCAATGGTCCCAGTCCCACGGAAGTACTGATTTGGCAGGCCCAGATGTGGAAGTGCTGTACTTAGGTCCCATAGGTTGGTAGAGTCCAGTAGGCCGACAAAAAGTTTAGGGCCGTTAGAAGTCTGGTAGGCCCGGTACCCAACAAGAAAAGTCCAAGTCCCAATTTTAATTTGGAAGCAGCATCCTGGGAAGATCCGGTGGGTTGCGGAACTGGCAAAAATGCACCTGACAGGCCTTGGGAGACCGTTACCCGTCTGGAGCCGACAAAGACCTCAACTCAGCTGATATTTCTAGAGCTACAGTGCTCCCAAGAATTCACTTGTCAATTCCTGCGTTGCGGAAGCTCTGCTGAACGCTTGTGCGACCGAACGAGTGGACCAGTTGGAGATATTGAGGAACAAGCCGGCACTTGAGCGCCATAGCTAGGGCTAGCTAGGAGGAAGACCACCACCATAGCCAATAGGGCAGCAATGAGAGAGGTGAATGCATTCACCGAGTGAGATTGAGCGATCCACTACGAAGTGTGTGTGTGTTTAAAAATAAAAATAAAAAAATAGAGTGAGCGATCCAAGGGAGGAGAGTGAGAGATACGAGAGAGAGAGAGAGAGAGAGAGAGAGAGAGAGAGAGAGAGAGAGAGAGAGAGAGAGAGAGAGAGAGAGAGAGAGAGAGAGAGAGA